AGCTTTCAACGTCTCTCTCTCTCTCTCTCACTCACTCTCACTCTCTCTCTCTCTCTCTCTCTCTCCCTTTCTCTCTCTCTCTCTCTTTCTCTCTCTCTACTCGTTCATCTTTTAGGGAAACGTTTCGTGTCTATCGTCGAAATCTGTTTAAATAATACACATCTAGGCCCCTAAAACGCAGCGTAAATTCTTATACAAAACATAATGTCGAACGATCCTCAATCAATAGCATCGTTTTCCCCTTCCTTTCGTATTTGTCCCTGTGTCTTGCGTGTCGCTTAAACTACGTTGACGAACATTCATCAACAGGTGAAGCAAACATCTGTATATCTTCTGCTAGATCAGCGCAGTCGGATGGACCTCCGTACAGATTAGTTTGATTGTATTTCACGATCCTGATAGGAACGTAGGCTCGTGAATAGACAGTCTTGTGTCTCGCCAGGCTTCTCTAGAAGCTGTGTCCATGGTAAAGTTTAACTCTTCGAATGTACATTTGTCTTTTGCGCCTTCTTTTTCCTGGCTGCAAGCATGTCGTAGAAGGGATTGTGCGATATGCTTTGCCTAGAATTGAAAAAATTGCGAATTATAGAAGCGAATTTGGATTGCATTACGAGCGAAAGATACGTTATAGGCGATAGTAGAAATATTTGAATTTATTAAATCACTGATAAAATTAATTGCGATGTTTGTGTAAAAGTTGTTTGTGCTTAAAAACTTTTAATAACAAAAAAGAAGAAGAATCGTGTTACAAACCCTCGACCATTAAAAGCGTAAATTATATAAACTCAAACCATCCACAATTTTCAGTAAAAGATTCACGGAAGCGTTAAATAAGCAGCACTAACCTCAGTCAGAAATGGAAGTCTTCTTTGAATTATTCACAGAATGAATAACAACTTACCGCACGCATTTGATCCATTCTTCTTTCTCTTCGTCCGTGGCCGCAGACATTCTGTACACAGTGTGTTTGCCTGTAAAGAGCAAAGAACAACAGTTACAATTCCGGTGTAATTACTGCGAGCACGACGACGTGCTATGAAAAAAAAGGGCTGCGTTAAATGGCAACGCAACACGCATAGGATTCGATCGTTTCACACGAGAAAGACGTTTTACCCGACCGATACTTGAATTCTTTATCCTTCGTGCTCTATTAATTCCCTGACTCTTCCAGGTTTTAATTTAGAGAAGCCAACGTGCGTTTAAAATTGCATTTTTTTCTCCAAGTGATCATTTCGTTCCTACGCTGAAATTACGCATGAGAAAAGGCAGCGTAATGCTTTTGATACGTAATTTAAAAAAAACAATGTGCATTCGCTTAGCTGATTCTCTTAATGGTTCCCACGCATAGGATAATCATTAACCCATTATAAGAACCAAAGTCACGTCAACGCATCAACGTTTCATTTATAATTATATTCTTGACCAATTGATTACATCGAAGTCATATAATTCGTGCCGTAATACTGCGTTTACAACTTGCGACTTTCACGCGTTATTTCGCCTCTTCTGCCTCGACAGATTGACTCTCGTTCAGATAAGCGAAATTGCTTAAATTCAGGTGACTTGACCGAGTACAAGCAGTCAACGCCGTTAGCCGCGCTGGAAACACTCGTTCCCGGCCGATCACGAAAGTTAAGCAGCAGCGGTCACGGGAGCGGTCTAGGATGGGTGACCGCTCCGTGAGGCGTTGACCAAGAGGAGACGCGCCGAAGCCATTTTTCACTTGGAGTTTTGGGCCCCTCTGGGGCGCTGGATGGTCAAAGCACACAAGGCAAGCCTCCGGTGAATATCAATAAGGAGAGAGACAGCGCTAGGGGTAATGCCCCCCCCAACGCCAATTCAATAGTCAGGAAATATGGGCTATGGAAATAGTCAGGACTGTCTAGAACAGAGAACGCGTGAAGGGGGTGCAACTGAAGTTAATTCATAAAAGTGGTTGCTGGAGCACCACCCCTGTCATACGCGTTGGATGGTCATCGTAGAGTCTTAGTCGGTAAGAGTCCGACACTACTCTGCTGTTACGCAATTATTGCAACAGCGGAGTGTCCATGAGGATTTCTCCACGTACAAAAAAAAGGTAACTTGACCGAGCTGATCGAAGTTTCAACAATCTACGATTGTTAAAAGTGTCCAAGTATAGCATAGCGCAGGCTCGAGTAATTAAACGCGCTGATAGCCGTAATCGAGTGGATTGGGTGGTGGTAGGTCACGGCACCGATCAATTAAGGCTTTCATCTAGGATCCCCGGTTAGGTACCTTCGACAACTTTTCCCTCGCTGTCCGTCTTGCACGCTTTGATGAACTCTGAGCCAGCGGCGTATAGCTCGAAGCAATGCGGCTTGTGCCGATCCTGCACCTCTCTGACCTGAATGTTTTCCAGCGGAATGATGCCTCGTGGCTCCTTGTCGGTCGTGTACTCGAAGTAATACAGACAGTTGTCGTTTAATATGAACCACCGTCTCTTCCAGCTCTTGTAGCGTCCGCCTGAAACAACCATCAACGATTTAAAAGCTAACGATCGATGCACAACTATAATTGCGTTATTTACCTGCTGTCTCCGTCAGGGCAGCAGAGGGACAAAGCGATACGATATAAGAAAAGTACAGACACTTTGACGGGTTTTTCGTCTCGTTGTCGTCGGGGAATGCTTCCGGACCAACGATTCCCAAACGTATTTCCCATTTTTCGTTCTTCCTCAAATCTTGCATGAACGTAATACACGTAATTACGAGGCAGGCAACGTCCGTCAATTTGTAAATTCTATTTTTGTGTTTCAGCGCGACTGAACATAGAATGCCAGCAGTCACGCGTCGTATCTCGAATCACCGCCAGTATCTTTGGAATGCTTGGGCATAATGGTGAAAATATTCGAGTCGCCCGACCGAGGCTTTCGACCTCTGTGGCCGGACAGTTTGGGAAACGCTGTTCCAGGATGTTCTCACTCGTCCCTGTAACCCTTTGCAGCGACAACCTTATCGTCTCATCTGGTTTCGATTGTACACGGAGAGTGGGCTGTTCTCGATCGCGAATCGATCGTTTGATTATGGCTGGTTATTAACGATCGATTCCTTGTACGGATGCATCGAGCGAGTATTTTTGTCCGTCCCGTAGGCCTTTGAATACCCGCATACATCGTGGAAACCATCCGGATCGCTTTACGCGCCATGGGTGGCGCGTACTTGCGGAACTACGTTGGCAATAGAGAACGCGTTAGCTCGAACAACGATCTTGGGAATTTAGAAGATTCAACGGTTTAGATTGATATAAAATATTTACCATGTAGATTAATATAAAATAATAACGAAAATTTCTAAGACCAGAAAGTTACGTACAATGTGAAATGTAAAAAGTATTCTCAGTGGGTGAGAAGTTCGTTAAGTCCTGCACCTGTGATTACTTTGCAACAAGAAACGTATCTTTTACGACATCAATCAGTACGTATCATTACTTTACTTGTATTTACTTTACTTTACTGTGTCGAAAGCTACAAGCTCTACGTGAACAAAAAAGCAGACAGGTCTACTTAACCCTCCGTAGGTAAACGTATTTTTCATACCTCGTAAGCAGACTGCTCCAGGCATTAAGAAAATCTAAGAAACATCTCCAGTCTGTGTTATCTATCTATGGAATATCGTACGCTAAGCCAAATGCACGAAACTTCGTGGATCGCTAATCCAATTTACCTACAGAGGATTACCTAAAGAAAAGGAACAAGTTACTTTCACTATACACAGCCTCTTTTAACATTCCTCGATTTTTAGAATCACTTTCCGTTTTAGGCGAAAATTACTATTTTACTATTTATGCAATCTTCTGTCGATTACTCTTCTCTACTTGTATACCGGAGAAAAAGCTTTCTCCCTGTTGCAAAGAAAGGTCGATGGAAAATTTGTTAAAAAAAAATCCGCCGCTGTAAAGGGTTAACATCCTCATGCACTCGTAACATTCCCCGGAAGAAAGGGGATCGCATGCAAGCCGGGATACATTCGCAACATTATTCGATCAACAATGGCTCGAGCAGCGTTCTTTCTTCGTCCTTCTCTCAGCCACGCAAAAGACGTTTTCTCGTTTCAATTCATACCGGGTGAAGGGGAGAAGGGAAACGTCAGAAGGGTCAAAAGTCGAATTGCACGTTACACAGTCTACGAAAGAATTACCTTGCTTCCAGAGCCAGCCTTCCTTGTCAGGGTTGAAGAACGTGTGCATCAGATCGTTCCCGTCGTCTTCCGGTATCTTGAACGGTTCCGTCTTTATACTTTCGTATAAGCTCTGCAAAAGTAACGTACTGCTTTTAAAATACCTATACGATCTTTGCGAGTAAATCATTTGGTTGTTCGAAATCAAGAGATATGATCTCGTATCTCTCATTGCTGTTTCAAAATTCGGATAATTCTTGTCTCGACGGTACGCAACGAGGAAGATACTAGAGGAAATTCGAGTTTCTGCGAGCCAAACGTGTCGTCAGTGGAAATTCTAGTTTTCCTAAACGTCTCTCGCAACCGTAAGAAAACACTTACTGCGAACATTATACAAAAAGGATTCGACGTTATAATATTATAAGTACAAATCGATTTACTTCAGAAGATGCAAATAGCAAAAGAGACTATCTCGCTGAGAAGAGAAAAGGAAGCTACTCGTTTCATTTTTTACAAAACTTCAACCATTATCCACTTTAACCATTATCGCCAAAGCATAAATGAGAACTATAACGTTTATTCTCCGTTTATATGGCACGAAAGAAAATCAACGATGTACTGTACAGGGGCAGTATCGGCATTCCATTCTGCTCGTCGAAGATGATACATAAAATCGATGATATCCTGCAACTGGTAAATCTATGCTTACATAAGAGCAGCTGCATATGATCGCCAGTCTAGAATCGTTTTCGATCCGGCAACGCGTCGATTAGACGAGGTGAGACGAGGTGAAACGCAACGCGCCACTTTGCATAAATCTACCATTAAGAAATCACCGCAACGGACTTCCCCGTTAGTCAGTAGGTTCATTCTAATAACTGCGATCCGCCGGTTGTGAGGCGACTTGTAAAGCGCGCCAATTGCTTTATATCCTGGCCATGGATCACGCGGATGGAAACACGCGTGCATCACGATATAACACGAACGAAAGGTCGGCCACTGCACGCGAATGACGTACGTCCTTTGTTGCACACGCTATTGCGTTATTTATCGTGTTTGTTAAGACCCACTTGCCTCCTTCTCCACCGATCCTCGGCTCGTTTATTCAATTTGGAATTTTTGCACCAGTTCGTCTAACATTTAATGCCAATCGTCCGATATTCATTGGAATATAAGTCGATTAAATCCTAGTCGTATGGAATTTGGATTATCGAACGCGTGTAGATACTCCGAGCGGACGACTGAATCGATCGGTCAAGCGAGAATCTACGCGTGACGCAAACGTTTACCAGGAATTTACCAGAAATTTCTGATTAATACGCTTTACGTCATCAGAAACGGGAACGGGAATAAACGCAGAATGTTTCAATAACTCGGTTAAACCGCAAACAATATCGTAAAGATTGCTTCCTCATCGATAGAACTGATTAAAGTCAGCCGAAGCAATATACAAGTCTCATCCGGAAACACGATCCAACTCGATATTCCGAACGATATTCTAATGGCACGTGCAGCATTTTAGAAAAACGACAAATTGGAATTTCATAGCGCCCTATCTTTGAATTACGTCGAACGTGCACCGATTATTATCGATGATTTAGTATAGCGATCTAATTTCGACGTGTATATCGTCTTTATTTATTTGCGGTGATAGAGCTCCACCTAATCATTACGGTTGCCCACACGTAATAAAATCGTTGCACCAACAGCGCTGCCCTAATTGCAGGAAATCTTTCGTGTATGTTTTCGCGGCACGGCTTGCGGAACAAGGAGAATTTGCATTTTTCGCGAATATCGGGCGAAAATTGTAACGCGAAACGTGAAACTGCGAGTCCAGGTGGGAACGAGATTAAATCACGAGGCACATACGCGAAAAGTAAAGCGAACCAAGATCGAATTAACCTTCGGAACTTTTACATTTTCATCGTCGCTCGAGGTTCATACGATTACGCTGTAACGAACAACGAAGAGAAATAATGGAGCATTCTAGAAAATATCAAAAAATGTCCCCTGTCGATAGTCCGTAAATTATCGTTAAACATAGATCGCATGACTTTATTTATCGTCGTACGAGCAAAAAGATCTGGCTGCGATCTGACGTTGTAGGCTAGCTATACACGATTCGAGGAACGGTTCCCATAGAGAGACAAATGACACAGGAAGCGCAGATAAAGCGAGAGCGAGCTTTTGCACTCACCACAAGGAGTTCGCGAGGTAGGTCGCCGCCATTGTTGATGCCACGGTTCATGGAAATGAACTGTTCCACGCTGGGCTTATCCTTGACGCTCGGATTGTGCAGCGACGTGTTCAACATAATGATGGCGAAGCTGAGCACGTAACAGGTGTCCGTGTTGGTGAATATATTCGGGTTCAACTGGCAGTACCTTTGCGCGAAACACTCCATCATCCGGTCGATCTTCTGCGCCTCACCGGGTAATCTGAACGACCAGAGGAACTGTCGAAGAGCTTGTACCAGGATCAGGTCTGTAAAATCGTGCAGTTCGACGAACGCTCGCAACACCCTCTCGTTGAAGTCGTGTCGTTCGCCCAGGTAGTCGCCGATCGCGGTTTTGTTCAGGCCCTCGCCCTTGTAAAGGAACTGGGCGACGTCCTCGGGCGTCGGGGCCAGCAGATTGTGCTCGATCAGGTACTCGATTCCCTTCTTAGGGTCCATGTTGAACTTCTTACGGCCGATAGACGTCTGTTTCGCCTTGTTCGACGGCTTGGTCTCGTCGGCCGCGAGACCACCGCCCTCCATCGCTTCCATCTCGGCCACCACTTCGCCCAGCTCATCTTTCAGTTGCTGCAACAGAAACGGACGGGTCAGCGAAACGTGCACAACAACGGCTTCCTCGTTCTCGCGAGCGAATCTCCACTCACGCTTCCATCTACCCTTGAATCGTCCTCTTCGTCCCGAATCGAACGATCGGTGTAACGCGATTTGCCAGGGGGAAGGTTCGAATCGAACGTGCCGTTTCGAGGTTCTAAGGTTGCTTCGCGGATCGAAGGTTTAACCTGTCTCCGCTTTCATTTGATTAATGTTGCGTGTAATGCCAGGTAGATCGAGTATCGCTCGAATTAGTCGCCACGACGAGCGAAACATTTGCTCGGCGAAGCTTTTCCTGTGGACGTCGAGGATATAGGGACGAATGAAGTTTGGAAGTAACTCGATCTGCTGGGACAGATTGCCCGGAAACGAAAGATCCCGAAGAACCTGGTACATATGTACATCGTGTAGGAAAGTTGCAAAGGAGGTCAAGAAATCCGATAGAATCGAACGCAACTGCGACTTACAGTTACGGTTGATTTCTTCGTGTATCTTTACTTATAGCGATACTTTTAACATCAAATTCCAACGACAATTTGTTCCACCATTATTCGAGGCTCTTTCAAACGATCGGCCGTTTAACCGCATTGCAGCAAATAGTAGTAATATCGCGTTAAGATTCGATGCGAGAAACACCGTAGGATTTCGTAAAATCGACCAAGTTTCTACGGTTCTAAGTTCGTTCTTGCCTGATGCTCCTTCGATTTTTTGCGCCTTACTACTTCCATCCTCCTCCTTCACTGTCGTCCCTTTATAAAAATCATCGCTACGGACGCACCCCATGTTTAAAGGAAGTCCTTCATCCGACATGGTCTCGTCTTTCCGATTTAGATAAGCAAAGAACTTTCCTAGGGTGAATACCGGGAGGGAAGCGTCACGAGTGTCACAGCGGTATCTGTCTCGTCCACGTAGCGTTCGAGCTACCGTCTACGGTTTTATCATTACGGAATTAATCACAAATAAGACGCTGAGTTTCGCGTTTCAAGGTTTAGGATTAAAATTGCAGGAAATACCAGTTTCCCTGATCTCGCTATGTAGGATTTACTACCGTTTTGCTATCTTCTGTACAATTTTGAAGAAGGAGAGGATACGAATATCGCAGGAGAGAAACATGACAAGTACATTTTTGTTGATTTTCTGCTTTCAGATGTCGCAATGCACGCAACAATCGTGCAACCTTCTTTTTCGAGGTTTGTAAACGCCAAGCAGTTCACCAGCGATCGCAAGTACCAGTACGCGGACTTCCTGCCGAGTGTCTGACTCTACCAGTCGTTTGCAATTTCCTTCTGCGGTATTTCCCGCTGTACGCGCCGGATTTGGAGGGCATGCCGCGGATTCCGGTGTCCTTTTTTGTTTCCTTCTTCGAGCTGCTAAACTACGTCGAAATCATCGAAAGTGCTCGACCGACCAAGCAGTAGTTTTGCTTATTGTTAGTTAGATACGTCCGTATCGTTGCGAAAGAAGCGAAAAATCGTTCGACCGTTGCACCGTAATTGGCTCGACTTTATCGATTTTTATCAACGAATACGTTGCAAAACAGCTTAACTTTCAAAAGAATACAAGATCGATCGAATGTGTTACGAGAACTTGCTCCCCTTTCCCATTTTCTTTCCCCACCGACGTTTGAATTGGATAGAAATACGTGTCAATTTCTTCTACTTAATTACCCATCGAACACGATGCAACGATCTCCCGTGGCAGAAAATAATTCCACACCGAAGCTGCAGCGTTGCCGGAAAATCACAATTACGAAAATCAAGGCGAAACACAATCTCTTGTAACGTTGAACAAAAAGGAGGAAAAAGAGAAGAAGCCGCGATGTGTGTACGTAGTATGACAATGGAACGAGCGTACATTTTCATTCGTCGAGGTGAACAAGAGAAAAAATTGAAACGAGAAACGTTGGAATAATATTTCCACGGTGTCGTACGCGAACGTGTGTCTCACGGTTATGTTTTGACCCGGCCGCCTCCCAGAATGCACCACCTCCGACTTTAATACGGGATCAGACACTTCCGGAAAAACGCAGTCACGTCTCTTAATTACGATATCGTGTCGAGGAAACTTCGAAATCTATCGGTTCGGTTTCATTTATCCACCCAGAAGTTTTTTATCTTTGCGAATTTTGCCTGCCCACCCAATGCCTGTTTTGTTAGGATGATCACCTTTGCCCGGTATATCTTGAATCCTTGAATCTGATAAGTTTTTCGATAAAGAACTTATGTAAATAATTGATCAGAATTGCGGATATATTTTCAAGCTGAATATTTGTGTTTCGATAAGTACAAGCGGACACGAGATCTTACGATCTTATAGCAATTTCCATGCGAAATTCATTAGGAGAAGTGAAATAGATGAGTTCTTTGTAGATGATCAAAATAGGTTTTAAATGAAGACATTAGCGTGATTGAGCGTGCGCGTCTTGGAAAATGGCTTGAGGCGTCACGATCTTGCCAAGTATCTTCTCAACTGCATCAAAATTTAATATCGTCGCAGTAGGGTGAGTCACGAATGCCGACCAATTATGAATACGTTTGAAAAACGAAATTTTTACGACGACCGAAGTTCACGTATAAATCTTTAGTATGAATTTTCAAATTACTCTTAATTACTCGTGCAACTGATCAGCACGGTATAGAAATTTTATCTGAGAAGATCGCGCGTAGAAAACATTAATATAAAATTCTGAATGCAATTTTCCCGCGAAATACTCTATTCATTGAATTCTTGCTCGCGGTACGCTCACCCCTTGTAAGTTTTTAATTAACAACAGACTCGAACGAGTAACAATCCCGGGGATTTTATTAAACAAGCGATTCTCCTTTTGCTCTCGCGTCCGCGGATTCATTCCGCTCAAACAATGAGCATCTCTGACAGCCATCGAGAACAAATCTTCCGGTTTTTCCGTTTTGAAAGAACCGTGAAAACTTTTCGAAAAAGCATGATTTTTTTGTTATAAAAAAAGAAGACGGAGAAATGAAGGGGAAGAAAAAGTTGCCCTTTCGTACGGCAGAAAGATAAATTCTGCTTAATTACCGACAAAAGGATATCCGGCCTAATTAATGTTCGGGGTCGGCTTTCTTTCTCGCGAGAACCGCGCGATATTTCTCGAATGCTTAAGCGAGGAAATTATTCAACGATCTCGCTCTCTGCCCTCCTCCATTGAATTGTTAACCCGATTTCCAGAAATTGTCAAACTAATTGAGCGCGAATCTTTATTCGCGGATCCATGAAAATTCCTCTTTCTTCTTTTTTTTCCGCGATAACTTTCGATTCACGATCATGAAACGAATCGAAAGGAATTCTGCGATATTGTCTTCCGTTCTGCTGGTAATTGCGTGCTAAGGTATAACAAGCCGTCTGTCGGCTTTAATTGTGCGTGTTTATAATATAATGTATTACTTAATAAGGTGGGTGCATCGAACTGGCGAATTAACTTTTTCCGTTAGCCGCCGCTTGAAACGTCTGGTTATCGCTTTGTAACTTTGCTAAGAGAAAGTAACTCGTTGAGTAAGTTATTTGTTACAGTGATATGTGCACAGAAGAGGAAACGAGGATTGCCTTTTTACAAATGCTAATCGGATTTTTGAGTGCTTCGAAAGATTCTATCTCTATACTTTAGACCACATCGTAAGGAATTTTCCAACGTGATACGATTGAACGAGAGACACGATGACTCAAACCGAAAACTCGAATAATGGTTTAGAAAACGTTACTAAACTCGATGACTAAGAAAGAATTCTTCGCTCGAAAATAACCTACGATATTTCATGACGTATTTTCACTGTCTATCGCAAAGACTATACGCACATAATACGCAAAATATGCCTGTTGAACAGACGTCTGTTTAGACTCTATTTCTTCAGTCGTGTTTGTAAAACTACGATTTCATGCGAATATCAACAGACTACTAAATAATACAAAAATAGTATAGTTGCTTATACAAACGTATCGATTTCTGCTTACTGAAATCATTTCGACGTAAGTATACTGTACATAGAAGCATCCATTTTAATATCAAATATTAGTCGCAAATATGATAAATCCGAAATATGAAACAATAAATTGAGTAATAACGGAGGAAAACAACGAGCGCGCTGTTTGCTCGGAATAATAGAAACGGGGGAAAGAGAATTCGTCGGGGATCAGAATCCGGGGCCGGAGTAAATTTTCCACTTCCTTTCAGCCAGCTCGTCCAAAAGCTGTTTATCGAGGCCCTACGCCCAAGGAAGTACAGTTTATTTTTAACCGGATACATTCACGACGCGTTCCACGCGTTTACGAGCACGTCAACGTCCGTTTTGTCGCGGGACACTTGTCAATGAAAGCCTGACATCGAAATTTCGTTAGCGGAGGAATGATACAACGGAAGCTTGTTTGTGCTTATAAAATATGAAGCAGACGCTTCAAATAATTCAATGGTCACGTTTCTAGACAAATATCGAGAGTCAAACGAAAAGAAGAGATATTACAATCGAATTAGACAAGAAAAATATTCTTGAAAATTCTTTTGGATCTGTTCGGTGGAACGTTAATCGTGCACCGTTCAGGCTTACGTAAGTCGAATGTAAAACAATGGATAATATGAGTTGTTGAGAAAAGCTACTAATGTTGGGAAAAATGAAGAAGAGACTACGTTACGCGACGAATGTCGAATGTGATGGTGTTAACGGAAGACCCTGAAGAGCAAACGGCTTCGGATAGGTATAATTATTTACTTGATATCCATAGAGATCTTCGACCTGTGTCGCGATGCAATCGGGTCAGACTCGATACCTATGTCTGGAAGAGAGCAAACGCGTTTTTATATGTTCGAATAGATTTCTAAGAAAACAGTGCAATTTCGTCGCGAAGAATTTAATTGAACGCTGAAACATCGAATTATTAAACGTTATTTTAACGTCGAAACAAAACAGTCTGGTCTAAACCAGAGCTATTGAATTTTTGTCCCAGAGCAATCATAATAGTTAGACTTT